GCTGAAAATTAAATAGATAAAAAGGGGCCTCCCAGGTGGCCTTGGGGTTAAGTCTCAGCACTGTCACCCCTACTGCCTGAGTTTGATTCCCCAGCCAGGGAGAAACCCACATGGTGGGACAGACCTCTCCTGTCTTGCTTGCTGCTCCCCTCAGCAGTGTATTTCAGTCAATCCACCTGCTCTGTTCCCCACTGTCTCTGGTGAGTACTCTCACCTCCATACCTCTGGCCTGTACCCCAGTTCTTCTATGCACAGATAAATAAAATATTTGAAAAAAAGAGCAAGGTCAAATGAAAATAATTAAGTTCACTGCTGTCAGTACCAGCACAACACTTTGGGGTGTACACAGGAACTCCCCCTCACTCCAATTATCGCACTGCCTTTAGTATTTACATAACAACCCTATGAAAGTGATGTTATGCCCACTTTACAGGTAAGAAAACTGAGACTCAGAGGGTTAAGGATTTTGATCAAAGCTCCATGTGTAGCTGAATCACACATTAGAACTGAAAATATAGATCTTCTGGTGTCAGAACACAAATTTCTCAGCGCACATCACATCACTCCCTAAATCAGCAGGTCTGCAGAAAACCCAGGCTCTGCCATCAACTAGTTGTGGGTGCTGAGCAAATCCTTCTGCAACAAAACTCAGGTTTTTTTTTCGCGGCCAGATGGGCTGCCCCAGGACTTGTAAGGTGCCCCTCAGTTCCGCTCATCCTGGGACCAGTTTTCACCTGCTGTTTTGCAAACTGATGGCTTGTATTTACGTCAGTTTTTGTGTTCCTAACGTAAGAGCTTATTTTTAATGGAACTAATTTTTGCAGGCATGACTAACAGCTCATAAGTCAAATTTATGTTAATAATTTGCTTACAAGATTAATCCACAGATTCATATAATCTCAGACTTAGAAGGGATGCAAAGGCTATGTGGTCAAGTGCCCTCATCTCGATTGTTAGGATCATTCTTAATGTCACACACAGATAGGACTAGATGAGCTTTATGGATAATCACATTCACAAAAAAAGGCAACTTCTAAACAGCAAGGTGTCCAGCATTTGTAAGCACTAAGTGCTGAGACTGCATTATTTAGAGACGGGATAGATCTATCCTCAGCCATCTGAGGTAGCCACACATCAGTACTGTCTACCAGCTTCCGCAGATTTCTGACCTCCATGGGTGAAGAAAATTAGAACAGAGTTCCAAGAAGGTTTCCAAAGAAAAGCAAAGGACTTACAGTAGAAATCCCAATCTCTAAAAAGGCTGAAGAATAAAGACTGCCTCAGGATTCACATTTAACTGCTCCTACAGTTAAAGGTCGCCTCAAAGAGGTCCTGCACTTTTTCCCCAGGCATCTCAGCTCACGAGGGCCGGAAGGCCTTTCTGCAGCAGCACTTTCTGCAGCACTGAGCTTGTCACAGACTCAGTGATAACCAGCCATGCTGAGAAATACACTCCAGAGCAAGCAAATACAGATTCAAACTCAAGCTCGCTTGCTGGCAGCCGTGTGACTGTGGATAAGTCAGCTGTGTCTCGGTGTGCTCACAGCGCCATCTGCCTTCTAGGGCTGGGAGGAGGCGCTCCTGTTCAGCAAATGGCAGTGACAGCTATCAACAGGGGTGTTACTACTAAAAAGGAGGATTAGTCATCAACTACCATAGGAGAGAAGTATCTATTTCTGCAAAATAATTCCTTATATGAGGACATATTACCAACTGTGATTGGCTAGAAAGTAAAGATTAAGCCCAGAGCTCTTGGAAAACAAACTCATACCTTAAATGATGATCACTGTCTCTGGGAAGTGGTAGTTCTAGAGAAGGCCCATGACAGCTTCAGGCTGTATGCCCACGCCTTCCCCTTCGCTGCCCCTCCCCCTCTAGAAGACTAAGAAAGTTAAGGGAAAATTTCCCCTGCCACCCTTACACTAGCAGGGGTGCCAGACGCCCTCAGGTAACTCTGTCCCTGCATGTGGCAGGCTGCCCTGCTGCCAAAGTTCACCTCCTTCTCCTCCAAGGCAATCTAGGACTTCTGTTATGCCCTCTCCCAAAAGTCCACAGAGTAGCAAACACTAGTGTGGCAACTATCAAATGCATCTGAAAGATTTTGGTCATTTCATTTAGATTTCTGACTCTGCTGTAAAGCTATGCTTCATCTGTCTTTCAGGAAAATACTTAATTTTGCTTTTTCGTTCTTCATTCAGTCTCTCCCTACTTTATCCTTAAAAGCTTGGAAGTAGCCAGAAAACATGGCTATTGCAATAGCAGTCTGGTGCCTGGGAATCTGCAAGAGGAGCTGATCATTTTTATAACCACATGATACTGTTTTCTCCTTTCAAAGAGGAGAAACCACTGGAAATCGACCTAAATCTGCCCCAAATCACAAAATTCTAAAGGCCCGAAAGGGGTACATAAATTATTACACTGTTTTACACTCAAATTACCCCTCAATTCTAACTCCAATATGATTTTAAAAGGGAGCTTTCTAAACTCCTCTTTTAAAAAGTATGATTCTGAAAATAAAATAAATGGAAAATTCATGAAAATGTGTATCCTAAGGAATTACAGCTGACATATTAAATGCCTGAAATGTCAGTTCCCTAGGGACAGGTAGAGAATCCCCAAAATGAGATGATATTGAACATTAACACCTTTCCCACACCTTAAAAGAATGCTATTCAATATGGAAAAGAACAGCTCAGAGATAAGTTTCAACTCATTTTTAAAAAGCAGGCATAAATTCTCAAACATATACATCATGTTTATTAGAATCAAAACGCAGCTGAGAAGCTTGAGCATGGTAAATGCTCAAGATAAGTTCTTTTTTTTTTTTTTAAAGATCTATTTATACAAGCACTGGGGTACAGTCATGAAGCAGGGGAGGGTGAGAGAATTCACCAGAGCCAGGGCAGAGAGCAGAACAGGCAGTCTGACAAAACACACTGCTGAGGGGAGCAGCGGGCAGCAGGAGAGGTCTGCATGCCATGTGGGACACTCGCTTGGCAGCCGGGGATCGAACCGGCGCTGCAGAGGCTGCGGGCAGCTTCGCAACCCAGCGCTCAACCACTGCACCACCAGGGAGGCCCTCAAGAGAAGTTCTTAAAGATCATAACCTCTTATGGTTGGAAAGTGGAGTGACTGGGGGGTGCTGAGGTGAAGCAATCATACGTACACATTCCCACAATGTGGAAATCCAGTCTCTACCCTAGTCCCTTGAATCTGCTGCTCATATACTGGCATGTGAAAAGGTTAAAAATTGAGGATGCAAAACATCTCTAGAACATCTCAAGATAATGCAAAATGCTTTGCTTTACCCGAATATTAAAAGCTCGATTGCACACTATTTCAAAATACTTCTTAAGAGTATATGAAAACTGGCAAATGGCCAACAGGCTTATGAAAAAATGTTCAACATCACTTGTAATCAGGGAAATGCAAATCAAAACTACAATGAGATACCATTTACACCAGTGAGAATGGCACATATTAAAAAAACTAGCAACAACAAATGTTGGCGAGGGTGCGGAGAAAAAGGAACTCTTCTGCACTGTTGGTGGGAGTGCAAACTGGTCCAACCACTATGGAGAGCTGTGTGGAGATTTCTGGACCTACTAAACATAGAGCTTCCATATGATCCAGCAATTCCACTCCTAGGTATTTACCCAAAGGACACAGAAACATCAATTCCAAAGAGCACCTGCACCCCTATGTTTATAGCAGCACTGTTTACAATAGGTAAGCTTTGGAACAACCCAAATGCCCGAAAATAGATGACTGGATCAAGAAGATGTGGTACATATATACCATGGAATATTACTCAGCATTCAAAAAAGATAAACACATGCAATTTGCAGCAACATGGATGGAGCTGGAAGGGATCACGCTCAGCGAAATAAGCCAGAAAGAAAAAGAAAAATACCGGATGGTCTCACTCATAGCAGGAATCTAGAAAACTTAAATAAGAGACCAGGAAAAAGAATAACTATAAGAAAGTAAAAATCAAAATCAACAAACAACTATGAGCCAGAGACACTCTATGGGGGGTGGGGGGCAGGGAAAGGAGGGATTGGTGTCAAAATGAGGGGGTTGCAATAGTATGGGGAATATAAAAATAAAATTTAAATTAAAAAAAAAAAAGTAAGCAACATATTGCCTAAAAAAAAAAGAAAGAGTATATGAAAACTGGGCCTCCCTGGTGGCCCAGGGGTTGAGACGCAACCTATGAAGCAGTCCACAGCCACTACAGCACGAGTTTGATTCCTGACCAGCCAGGGAGAAACCCACATGGCGGGACAGAACTCTCCTGTCTCACCCACTGCTCCCCTCAGCAGTGTACTTTGGTCTGTCTGTCTGTTCTGTTCCCCACTTTGTCTCTGGTGGGTCCTCTCACCCCCCCTCCCCCGCATCTCTGGCCTCTACCCTAATTCTTGTATAAAAATAAATAAATCTTTAAGAAAAAAAGCTATTAAAAAAAAAAAAAAGAGTATATGAAAACTGACTTCCAATCCCAGCAGCTAAAAAGGCACCCAAGCTGGCCCAGCTCAGCAGTGACCTAATTCCTTTTCTAACCTTTCTTCTGTGCACACATACAGATGGTAACTTCACCCTCCCAGGGTACAAGTTCATCACTAAGATTAACACTACCCAGTACCCAAAAGAACATACCAGCCTTTTTTAAGGTGTTCAACAAAAGTGGGGGCAAAGTTGGAGGAGGTGATATCTCATATAGTAAGTCACTTGTGAATCTGACTCTGGCCAATTGGGTATTTATGCAAAATGACATTAAAAATGATAAAAATACAATTTTACAATTTCAAAAAAATATCTGTATATTTACAATTCCTCGTGGCCAAACTCTGGGGTTAAATGATTACTGGCAGAGTCAAAAATTCCTCCCATTTTGAACAACATGCACATACATGGGCTGAAATAAGTGTACCCACCCACATTTGTGTGCCTGTGTGTGTGTTTTCCACATACCCAGTTCATTCTGGGTAACATCTTACCTGCCACTGGTTTCCTGACTGACCAGGCACATAAGGTGTTGGAAGGCTCCGAAGGCTATTCTTCACAGGGGATCCCCCGAGGGGGGTTCCCACATCCCCAGAAGAAGAATCAGCAGCCAAGGCCATGGAGTACTGCGGGTAGTTGTACAGATTGTTGTAGTAAGGGAACAGAGATGGCTGGTAGAAGCTGCTGTAGTAGGTGGAGTCTGAAACCAGATCAGCTGTGTTCTCCATGTGCCCTCTGGTGGTGACAGCAGGAATATCCTGGATGACCATGCGTCCCTCTAAGAAGAAAAAACAAAAAAAAAACAAACCAAAAAACCATGGTATTAACGTGGGAATCCACAAAACTTCACCTCTAAACCCTGACAACGCACTGACTTCCTCCTCAAGATCTGCACAGTAGCAGAGTCAGGCACATCTTTCTCCGTATCCATAATAAAGAAGGGTTTCTAAGGTTGTAAGTCTGGAGGCACAGGTGACTATGTTTTTGACTGAGGTCATTTTAGTTACATAGAACATGCTGGTCTTACTCCCACCCAGAAATTCTTATTGCACTGTCAATAAATTAGAGGTCAAATCCTGTCTGATCTGTCTGCAACAGTACAGAAATATTACTTGTACTTCACTTATTTAAATAGTCATTTTTCAAATCCCAGAGTCCTTAACTGTGATAACCATATAGATAGGCCAGAAAGTCAAAGCAAGAGGTTAAGAAGTGAAACAAACATTGTTTCCTTCACTTCCTTGGTCAGCTGACATTGTATCCTTCAGAAGTCTGGACAATGGTATAGATCAAGGGTAGACAAACTTCTACAAGAGGTCAGTTAGACTTGAGTGTGAAAATCTCAAGGTTGGCACTCAAAGGACATACTGTGGTTGGGAGCTGAGATTCGGGTATCTCACAGAGATGCTGGGTGAGAGGAGTGTCTGGGGACAGAAGGAAGGAGTTGTCAGGGAAGAGCATGTTCTGAGAAGAGAAAGGCAGCTGAGGAGGGAATCACTAGAATCTAGAAAAGAAGACAATGTCACAGAGGCCAAAGTTGACACGAATCTCAGAGGCGACAGGACATCAACTGATGCTGCGGCAAGCAAAATCGGTTCTGGAAAAGACCTACAAAGGGCTAGGCCTTTAGGGCTTGGGGTTTTATCACAGTGAAAGGAGCAGAAGCAAGAGTGCAAGGAACAAGTAAGCAACCAGGAAACTGGTGGTAAATACAGTGGAGACTGTGACAGCCCCCCTACTTCCCCCCATGCTCCTGGCTCACCCACCACAGCATCCTCCATACCAGGACCATGGCCAGAACAGGCGGTGGGAAATATTTGCAAAAGGGATCAATGAACAACTGTCTTTTAAGTAGCTTGGAATGAAAAATAAATGTAAAGGAAAAAACATAAAAGCTCCAGGAAATAAGATATATTTATTTTTTAAATATAGTGACTGGTTGAGCACAGCAAGGCAGGGAGAGGAAACTGGTGGAGAGAAAAGCCCAGCATAACCCATGGCCCAGAGCAGGTGTTCAGAAGAGTCTGAATGAGTGTGTGAAAGGAAAAAGAAAATAGGCAAGGGAGGGCATGACTAAAAGTGCAAATTCTGGAAGATCTGGTGAAAGCAGTAACAAATGTATTTTTACAGGTTTATTCCAAAGAGAGTGAAAGTCACTTCTCTGAAAGGATACCTAATCCATTCACCTTATGCTCCTGCAATGTACTGCCAACCCACTGCTTCATTACATTTCTTTCTTTTCTCCTCTCTTCCTCTTCCCAGCTAATGAGATGAGAAATTCACTGCTCCACACTTGTTTGAATAGAGCACATGTCCTTCTCTCCTGAACTTCCCCTCATATTTTATTTTATTTTTGTTTGTTTATACAAGCACTGGGTACAGTCAGAAGCACGGGAGGGTGAGAGAATTCACCAGAGCCAGAGCGGGCAGCAGAGCAGGCAGAAGGACTGAAGTACACTGCTCAGGGGAGCAGCGGGCGGCAGGAGAGGTCTGCGCGCCATGTGGGACCCTCCTCAGGTGGCCGGGGAGCAGCTGGGGATCGAACCGGTGCCTCAGAGGCTGCGGGCAGCTTCGCAACCCAGAGCTCAACGGCTGCGCCACCGGGGAGGCCCTTCCCCTCATATTTTAAACACCAATTTAGTAACACAATGGCTGGTTCTTGGTATCTAATGTTTTAGATTTCATTGGCATGGCTTTACTGTTTAATCATAAAAGCAACAGACACTTCAGAGAAATAATGAAGACTATAGATGCTTAAATTAGAAAAGGAATGAATGACATCTTACTGCCAGGTCATGAGCATTAGTGGAACATCCATATAGACCTGACATTTAGAAAGGCACTTCATAGACTTATCCCTGTCCCTGCAGTGGAAAGAACTGGACACTCCTTAGGACCTGACTTCAGACCAAGGTTCTTTATAGGAAAATAAAATACAGCAGCAGGGCCTCCCTGGTGGCGCAGGTGGTTGAGCACTACACTGTGAAGCTGTCCACAGCCTCTGCTGTGCAAGTTCGATCCCGGCCGGCGAGACTCCCACATGGCGAAGCAGACCTCTCCTGTCTCACCCGCTGCTCCCCTCAGCAGTGTATTTCGACAGTCTGCCTGTTCTGTTCCCCACTCTGTCTCTGGTGAATCCTCTCACCCTCCCGCGCATCTGGCCTGTACCCCAGTTCTGGTATAAAAACCTTTTACCAGGCTACAGTTTACCCCCCAACAAAATACCAGTAATAGCTCAAGGAAACAAGAGAATGGTTTCAATAAGCTGCAAAGTAAACCCCAAATAAAACCCTACCTCAGGTCAAAGCAAGGATTTCTTTGGCTACTGTTGACTGTAATTAGTTAACAAGCACATCACTTTTCCACTTACCTGTGTTTTATTCCCTTTTTCAAATTATATGAGCTTTAAAAATCAATTAAGATCTATGTTGTATTTCATACAAGGATCTAATAACAAAATCACTAGCTATTTTAAAGTGTAGATGCATAAATATTTTATACTCTTGAAATGTTTCAGACATTTTGAATGTTTTGAATGTCTGAATGTTTCAGACATTTGAAATGTTTCAGACATAAAAGGTGACATTTTAAAAAACTATGAGAGAGGATATGTCCCAGGGACAACTGGAACTACCAAGGTCTATTTAATTAACCACCAAGCTGTATTACACAGCTCCAAATAGGTCCATGTTAAAAACTACTTTATGTCTCCAGGCCGTAAGTGCATGCGGCCAGTTCCTGGAAATTTCGCAAAGTTGAATAAATGCCCATCATACTACATGTGTCTAATCCTGTGGTTCCAAGCATGAAACAGCATCAGCACCACCTGTAACTTATTCAAATGTACATTCTGAAACGCCATCCCTGACTCTCTGAATCAGAAACTCTGAGGGCTCAGTCAGCAATCAGATTTTTAACAAAACCCTCAGTAGGTTCTGAAGCCCAAAAGATGGAGCAAGAACCATGGGTTTACGCTGAAGATTGAAAGCAACTGCTCGCTGGCTACACTGCTGTGCCAGTCCTGGCTGGTTATCAGAGAAGCACACACAAAGGGTTTTCACTGGAAAGGAAGCCGGGCCTTCTCCCCAAACAACCACAGGTCTGTGTCTCACGCTGTAGCTAAGTGGTCACCACGTTCATGGCCTACACCTAGGTTTACTTCATATATTCTAACCACAAAGCTCATCTCCTCCAGCATTTCTTTCAACGTGACAAGTATGTGTTAGGTACCTACTATTTGCCAGGCATTTTACTGTTATAACATCGCAGTCAAACTTTATACTCTTCATGAGGCTTCAGGACCATTCAGAAAAGTGACTCATACAAAAATCACTTATTCTTGATATTAAATTGTATTTTTATATTTATATTTGACTCATTCATTTGCTATCATACAATAACTATGTTCAAAATGTGGCTTTGGGGCCTCCCTGGTGGCGCAAGGGGTTAAAATGCAACCTATGACGCTATCTGCTGCCACTGCAGCACAAGTTCGATCCGCAGCCAGGTAACTACCCACATGGCACAGCAGACCTCTCCTGCCTCGCCCGCTGCTCCCCTCAGCAGTGTATTTCAGTCAGTCTGCCTGTTCTGCTCCCCAGTCTGTCTCTAGTGAATCCTCTCACCCCCCACAACTCTGGCCTATATACCCCAGTTCTTGTATCCATAAATAAATCTTTAAAAAAATGTGGCTTTGGATGGCACCAAAAACACAAATATTGGTTTTTGGAAAGATTCATTTATTCTTTTATTTAAGTAACTTTTCTGATTTTTACATTTTTTTTTTAATTTTTGCATAGAACTGCAGTGTAGGCCAGGTGGGGTTAGGTGCAGGGTGGGCATGAAAGGATTCACCGGAGACTGGGGAGCAGAACAGGTGGATCTATTGAAATACGCCCGCTAAGGGAAGCAGTGGGTGACACAGGAGAGGTCTGTTGTACCGCATGTGGGTTACCTCCCTGTCCAGGGATCAAACTTAGGCCACAGTGGATGCTGAGACTTAACCCTTAGGCCACCAGGGAGGCCTCTGGAATGTTTCATTTCTTCTGAAAAGTTTGTTATCAATTTGGAAAAATTAGGCATAGACTGAGAAACTCACAAAACCGTAATCTAGCTGCTACCATTCATAGTATCTGAATCAAATACAGTGTTGAAAACCAGTATCTGTCACTACAATTATAAAATAAATAAATAAATGCCACCAGATCTCTCTACAGCAGAGATCTCATCACGGGCCAATGGATGATGAGAACAGAGGTTGCTCCAGGACTGATTTCAGAAGGTCCTGAATATGAATGCCAGCCAAGGAGTTCTGATGTCCAATAAAGGTTTACAGAGTAAAGAAGCAATGTTGGAATGTGTGAGAAAACTAATCTAACCCAAGCATAAGGGTCTAGGAGAATGGACTAGGCTAAAACAGTCTATTCTGTAAGAGGGCAGGTGGGAGGGCAGGTATGTAGGTAGATAATTCAAAGTCTACTACAGAGACAGAAGTAGAGACAGAACCTACAGACTGGAATAAGAACAAACTAGATGCTTTTAATACTCCTGGAAAGGCAATTATGAGCTTGCACGCATGGCAATGGGTAGAAGACAATCTCATGAAAATCATTGCTATGTCTGGTGTTCTGCAATTTCCCTTCAAACAAAAACTGTTAAACTGTTAATCCCAGTCACCCAGGGACTAGGGAAGCCACCCAGCTTCCCTTCCAGACTTTGTTCAAATGCTGAAGTGATTATACTGCTCAATTCAGCCTAAGGGAGTACGCTCCTCTATGA